ATTAAAAATTCAAAAAGTACAGACGATTCTACAGCTAACTTCACTTCTGATCTGTACTCTAGCCACCCAGTACTCCTGAATAAAGACTTCAAAATACTTTTTCATATATCCATAAAATCTTTAGAGGAGCTCTTTACCAAAAGTTTCCCTATTCAGTTAAAAGATTTTCCTTTCAATAACTGATTTCAGCATACCCCTGACACATTAAATAATAGAAATAAGATGAAATGTGTAAATATCTGGCAGATTTACTTTAAGGAGCAGAAAAATTCCAAGTCCTCCACATAAGTGTGTTCTGATTGGCAGTGTTTACCTTGTGGAATGGATAGAACCAAACTGGAAGGAATACACTAATAAACTGTGCGCAGTAGGTGTGTTAAGACCATCCTCTCAAACACTACCCCACTCCATCACCACCACCAACCACCACCACAAATCAAGGAGGCAAATGAAATTAACTACAGGACTTCTGGTTTACTGATTTCAGGATGCAAGCTGGGAGCAAGAGCTCAACCACTTGGGACAATAAAAATGAAGGCAAAGCATTCTCCTTTTCTACTTTTCCCCCACCCAATGTCTAGCTTGACCCCTAAATAAATGTCAGATAAATATGTGTATATAAAGAATACTGATCTGAAGCAGCACCAGATTGTCAGCCCGCTCAAACTGTACACAGTCCAGTCTCTGCTAGAGGCCAGAAAGGAAAGGATCCAAGCTGCTTTATAAAAATTCAGATGTTGGACTTACAGGCTAAACCAAAAGAAACAAAGTTATGGCTACGCAAAATATGTGGTACACAGTTTCATCAGCGTGTCAGTGTGGTTCAAGGTGTATCAGCACAGGTACACATACCAAGCATTTTCTATCCTTTCTTGTACATAAATATTGTTGACACTATTAGAAAACTATGCAGTTAGAATAAAATATATTAATAGGAAGGCAAAAGGTCTCAAAATATATTTATATATGTTAATAATAACCTGGAATTTACAGCCAATATTTTTCCGACCAAAAAAATGGGACATGGAGGTTTGGAAGTAATAGTGTTACATCTTACATGGGAACAATCACTTTCTATGACACCTTTGGGAAAAACAAATTAATGTGTTTTTCTTGCTGTTAAGAAAACAAGTAGAACAGAAAGAAAAAGATATATGACTTGCACTCATGGGCACACACACACCCACACAAATATACAATTTGTGTAAGATGCAAGAGAGGAAGATAAAGTAGAAAATATCAAGAAAATAAAAGAGCATTAAATAAGATCCTAGAAATGGGATGAAATGTTAATAAATTAAACTGTACCAATAAAAGCCAAAAGGCCAACAAAATTATAAAAGTACAAAAAGAGAACATGGGAAAATATTTTCATTATATTCGGATACAAAAATCTTTTCTAAACATGACATGAAACCAAGACAAAATAGATAAGATTAATATGATTCTATATTTTAAAATACATTTATGGCAAAAGACAAATGACAAATTGTAGATCATATTTACAACAGACCTGACTGATAGTTAATATTCTTTACATACAAAAAGCTCTTAAAAATCGCAAAGTGACAGTCTAAAATAAAAACAAAAAGATATGAATATGAACTTCTCAAAAAAAAAATACATGAGCCTAATAAAGGCATGAAAAGATGTCCAAGCAGGGAAATGCAACTGTACTAAAACAGCAATGAGGGTTTTTGTCATTTCAGGATGCCAAGAATGAAAAAGACTTCTGTTGGCTAGAAGAGGGGGAAATAAGACACAGTCACATACAATTAGTCTAATGTGAATTGCTACCACCCTACTGAAAGGTAAATGGGCAATTTAATACTAATTATGTCTAGGAAATAAGTTTGAGAAGAGGAAGAATGAGTGTAATATCAGCAGGGGACCTTTACTTTTTTTATACAATATTTTTAATTTTTTAATAATGAAAATGTGATAGTCCCATATTTAAAAAACAATGTTTTCCTAAGGAAGAAAAACTTAGATTGGGGTACAAAATAAAATCTAACTATATGCTATTCACAAGGCAAATACTTAAAACAAAATGACATTGGAAAGAGCTGGACAAAGAACTCATTAGGCAAACTTAAACATAAAGAAAGTGTGGTAACAACATCAATTAAAATAAAATTTAAGACAAAAACATTAAAATAAAGCAAAGTGGAATTTTAAACTAATAAGATATAATCCACAATAAAAATATAATAGTCAAGAAACTGCTACAAACATGGCTCCAATATTCTCAGTGACAAAATTTGTATAACTGTAAGGGAAAATGAAAACAGAAAGCTACTAGGGACTTTTAACATTCCCTTCTCTAAATCTTGTTTTGTTTTTTTAGCATTTATCATTGATTTTAATTTATTTGAATCTATGCAACTTCCATCCATATTAAAATATCAATTAATGTAAATATTTTATTAT